TTTTTTTTTTTTTTTTGCAGAAAGACCAAAACGAAATTTCTAGATGCACTAGATGCCACTAGATGCCAAAAAACAAAACTGCTTTTTATTAATTATTATTTTATTAAATATGTATATTTAATTTAAATCAGTCATTTTAATGATACTGAATTAAAAAAAATACAAGCCAATAAAATAACCACACTTTTATTGAAAGTAAAATCATAATAATATCAATATATTATTTTTAAGTCAAGCCAAGTCACCTTTATTTATATAGCGCTTTTAACAATAGAGACTGTGTCAAAGCAACTGTACAGCATTCATTAGGAAAATAGTGTGTCAATAACGCAAAATGACAATTAGTAAACACTCAGTTTTCAGTTAAAGGCAGTTCATCATTGAATTTAGTGATGTCCTCATCCAGCAACACGGGAAACCTCACCCGGCCCAGACACGGAAAAGATTGACAGATTGATAGCTCTTTCTCGATTCTGTGGGTGGTGGTGCATGGCCATTCTTAGTTAGTGGACCGATTTTTCTGGTTCCTTCTGATTATTTTTATTCAGTTCAATGCAACAGAATCAGATTTAACTGTTTTTTTGTTGTTGTTTGTTTAATTAGCCAAATAATGCATAGTCCTATATTTACAGTCGTTTTCTCTTTTAGCCAAAAACCAAAAATGCTATTTTCGGCTGATAATTTTCAGTGGCCGAAATTTCGGTGCGTCACTACTGAAATTGAAGTTTTCATTTAGCCAAAAACTGAAACCGCAAATAAAGTTTCGTAATTAAATTTGGGTAACTCGGTAATGATACTCCGTATTTTGGAGGTTGTGTACTCTGGTGATAAACTGAAACTGAAAACCAGTGATAGTAGGGCTGCACGATAAATCGAAATGAAATCGCAATCGCGATTAGACAGAAGCTGCGATTGTCATGCGTATCTTTCAGTGAAGCACGGTTCTGTGATCAGCAGTAAATCTTCATCCGAAGGCCAGAGGGCGCTCTCACACGGAAACTCCAAATACGCCCCGCAGAACAAATCCAGGAAATCTCTATAGCGGTAGCTGAATAAACAGAAGATTTAACTGCTTTCATTGATTCAACGTGACTAATAAAACACACGACTACGACAATATATGGTTTATTATTATAATTTTCATTATAATAAAGTATATTTATAATGCAATGCCTTTATCACTGCTTCGAATACTATGAAATATGTTGCATGCCTTATTCTGTGTAATTAAATTTGGTATTTTCACATGCTTTCAGATAGAGCAGCATATACTACACAGACCCGTAGTTCACTGAGAAGCTGAAAGACCAAAACCAAAAGTTCTAGATGCACTAGGCCAAAAACCGAAACTGCTTTTTATTAATCATTATTTTATTAAATAACATAAAATAAAGACTTTTGTCACGATACTGCTACTGTGGAGGAGACGAAGGAGTGCAGAGACGAAGGAGATTCAGAACTCATCACAGTCTTTATTAAATCCAAATAAAGACACACATGGAACGGGCAGGGACACACACGTAGCATTGGGGTTAGACGTATAATACCGGACGCTAGACATGGAAAGACACAGGGCTTAAGAAATGGGACTACTCAAGGAAATTAACGGGAACCAGCTGAAACAAATGAACACAACTGGCACGAGGGAGAAACTAGGTCATGGGGAGAACATGGGGAGAAAAACACAAGACATGGGGAACACAGGACTGACAACTTTTAATTTAAAATCAGTCATTATTATTTCTATTCAGTTCTATGCAGCAGAATCAGATTTAACAGATTTTTTTGTTTAATTAGCCAAATAATGTATAGCCCTACGAAACTATTATTATACGAGCATTTGAGCAGAACGTAGCGTCACAAGAAGTGAGTTTGGAGTAAAAATGTGTTATTAAATGTGGTATTTTCACATGCTTTCAGATAGAGCAGCATGTACTATACAGAGCCGTAGTTCACTAAGAAGCTACGCAAACAGCTGTCATTATCGCAAATAATTTCTTCGATTTCATAATCGCGCAATAGTATCGTCTGCAATTTTTTGCGTAACTTGTCAGTGAACTACGGCTCTTGTGTAGTAAATGCTGCTCCATCTGAAAGCACATGATGGAGATTTACTGCTGATTACAGAACCGGCTTTACCGACAAAATGCACATGGCAATCGCATTTGATTAATCGAGCAGCCCTAAGTGACAGTATACTTATTTGGCAATGAGCCACCTCTCCATATTTTCTCTAAATAAATTATCATAATACTCACAGTCATAATGTGGTATTAGAGAAAAGCTAATCATACGTAACTCTTTTGGTCAAAATTCTTTTCTTTTTCTGTTTTGGCTGAATAATATCAATTGCCATCACTACATGCGAAGATATTTTCTTTTTAGTCAACTATTGTGACTAATCCTTTCTGGATAAATCACACTGTGCCATAGTAATGCCACTATTAAAACTTCATTTTGAGTTTAAGTTGACTGAGCTCACTCATGATGCAACAAAATCGTTTAAGTTTACAAATCCCTTGGCATTACATGAGCCTCCATCTAGCCTGACAAACAGAGAGAGATGGAGAGGAGACAAATAGGATGGACGTGGATTACATAAGCGCCATGGGCGGTGTTATGTCATTCACAAAGCTGCGCTTGAGGATGGAGAGACAGAGGAACTCTACCTCCCACCAGAACATCCTGCCCTCAACAGCACCACTCCTCCGCAACACGCAGCGGTCAGGACAGCGTGATTAACAAATTTGCTGGAAGTGCTCATGCACAAACATTCACAGCAAGCACCGCTGGAACAACAGCAAAACAAGAGACTGGTGGACAAGGCACGACCGGTGATCAGGTTGGAGGGAAGAGTGCGATCAGTCATGTTTGCAGACGGGGGCAGTATGAGATTACGGGCAGGTGGTATTATCTGCACGTTTTATCTGCCTGTGTGCGTGGGATACGCCTGGCCACAGCTCAGACTTCCTGTCAGGCCAACCCTGATGTGCTGGGAAGACAGGGGGCGGTGTCAAAAACAAAGTGGCGCCATCGGGACAAACGCAAACCATCCATTGCAATCTAAATCAGAGTTACCACAAGCCTTTTGTCCAAAATGCACCTACAGCAAAGCAACATTGTGAGACCGGAATCTTTGCTGTGATATTTGTTCTTCCTGTCTGTCAGCCCAGTCGCTGTAACATGACCTGAACGGCTGTGATGTCCGTGAATGTGTACCCACATGAAAGATTTCCCTCGCTCTCTTTTGTACCTGAGCGGATCAGATTAAAAGGGATGATCTCTAATGCAAACAGAAGAAAACATTACAGCTGAATCAGTTTGTGTAATCGGTTGACATCATACGCAGCAAATAAAAAACTTTCGGAGAAACTGTCCTGAAAGGGCTGCGCCAATCCAACTATAAACTATTCATTCAGCATTACAGCTGGATAATACAGACAAAATATCAACATTTTCAGATATAAGACTATATTTATATTTATGAATTAGCACCAAGTTTTTGTTTTTTTAACCACACAAGCCATTGTTGCCATTTATATACAAAATGTTTAAACCAAGCTGGATAACACAGTACAAATTTAGAAGACAAAAGGCACGTTTTTCCAAATTGAATATTTGTAATTGATTTGTACGTACCAATTTAACAGTTCAAGGTAAACAAAAGGTGCACTGTACCTGCATTATTTATTATTTTGAAAGCATTTTAAAAGCACATATAAAAATGAGACAGGGACTGAATAATTTTGAACTATGATGCCAACAAATGATTAAATCAGTGTTTAATATAGACAGATATAAATTTAACTTTCAAATTCCAATTCCATTTTTGCTATAGACATTGAAATAATAAGCTAATATTAAACATTATGTTCTCTTATACTCACAACTTGGAGTCACAACATCAAAAGTAAGATGGAACTGGCCTACTGGAAACTCAACAAGTTAAAGTGCATGAAACTAAAGTGGATTCATTTTAAATGCAAGCATCATATTGTATGTACTAGGGCTGCACGATATATCATTTCAGCATCGATATCGCAATGTGTGCATCCGCGATAGTCACATCACAGGATGTGCAGTGCTTCCCACATATAGACTTTACTTGGGCGGGCCGCCCATATATTAACGGCCGCCCAAGTATATATGGAGAAACATTTTTGCTTTTATTATTTTTATCCTCACCCTTTTTTTATCCGCTCAAAATAATAATACCATCCGTGATCGATTAACTAGTGGAAAATCTCTCCTTCGCCCTACACGTTTCGTATCTGCTCATTCTGTGTGCACGAGAACTGTTTACTCCCGCTGACGTTCCCACGTGCGCTGCAGAGACGCCGCGGATATTTCACAGACAAAGACAGGGCTTGACAGTGCGGGCGCTTCAGTCGCAAATAAAAATAGATGTGCGCGAACTGTAAAATGTATTTAAGGAGCACGTGTGCGAATAAAGCAAAATCCCTCCGGCTTCAAAGTGATTCTCAATCAATGAATAGTGCACATTTATGCCAAGCGATTGCTTATGAACTCGAGTTGATGAATTATGACAATGTCTACTTTATGACCTTTATATAATGTTTTATACGGTTGTAAGAATGCATATTTTCTCTCTCATCTGAAGGCAATAGTATAGACATTTCAAAATAAGAGTCCCGGTGTATTTCGGGCTTGTTTATAATTAAAAGTCACAGGTTACGTTTTTTTCTTTTTCTGGGCATTATTGGTATTTTGGTTACACAATTAATTTTATTTAATTTAATTTCCATTTCATTCATAGTAAACTATTGTAGTTTCTGGCTGGGATGCTTCCCCACAGGAAGAAAAGACTAAGAACATTATTTGACATATATTATTCAATATATAGATTTTACTAGTATCAGTAAAATCTGTGTCCCACTCACAGAGAGAGACACTGTATGACAAAGTAAGGAGAACTCCACAATTTAAAAGCTGTAATTTTGCATAATTTACAATGCATATAATAATGCATACTAATAACATGTAATTAAATGTAATAGTAGCCTATGTAATTAAAATGAATTTCAATAAATTAAAATAGTTAAAAATCACACATTATTTGTCACATGTAGTAGACCATTTTTGTGCCGTGGGTAATAGGAGGATTTTCCACCCGGCTACCACCGCAAGTATATTTCAAACCTGTGGGAAGCACTGATGTGCGATGTTTAGTACTGATCGTTATATTTATACTGATCATTTTCTTTGCTCACACCCAGACACCGTGTCTACACCAGACGTGACAGTTGTTGTGTCGCACCGTCCCGCACCGCAACAGCTAAAGTCTGTCTACACTGGACGCGACAAAGCGACCTTTGCAAATTATTTGAACTTTGTGTCAATACGTCTTTAATAGAATGAGGCTGTCGGGGATTTGACGTGTCGCGCCGCATCCAGTGTAGACAGCATCACTGATTACAATGGGTTCTGTCATATTTTGTCGCTTCACGCCACGCCGCTCGTGTCCGGTGTAGACACGGTGAGAGTC